CCACCTCTAAAACGCTTGTACCAATAATTACACGTTTCAAAGGACACCACCAAGAGCACTACAGATTGATTCCCGTGCTTCAGAAGAATTTTTTCATTGCTGGAATTCGTGTATACCACAGGCCCATCGAATGTGCCGTCTGTAAGTCGCCATTATAAGCTCTGGTTTTATGAGAGGTGATGTAAGTCACGTGGACTTGCTTCCGATCCTTTCGAACACCAGAAGCTCGAAGAAAAGTTCTGTACAGATTAAGTCATGCACCTGATGGAATGGGATTGCGGTTACTTATCTCTACAGGAGATTGGAGAGATGTTAAGTGGACCACGCAATCCCTCAAGTGTCGCCCAGTTAAAATGTTGTGTTTGTGTTCTAAACAAAACTCTAGCCTCGGAGAAAATAAACCTGATATTATCTTGTGGTGTCTTAATGTGCATACACAAGACAACCCACGCACCCTAAGGTTGCCGTAGAGTTCGCCGACGATGTTGTTCTGGTAGTAGGCGGAGAGGAAGTGCGCCAGACGCAGCGCCACCCGCCCCTCCATCTCGAACTGCGCCTCCGCGCCGTAACTCACACCCGACGGCATCTGCAGCTGCTTGGACGTCATTGACGCGCAGTTCTCCGTAGTGACGTTGTCAATGGAGGCGATGAGTCGGATAGCCTGTAAGGGAGACATTGCATCGAATGTCACTTTGTGACCCTCCTGCACGCCAACTCCTATTGGCTACCGAGCAGCCAATAGGAGCGCGGAAAAATCGGGCTTCGGGGTCTTGGGCGACTATGAAAACGAAAGCTAGCTGACGGGAATGTTCGTAACTCCGTGAAATTTGCTTATAGATGGTGTTTATATCTGTTGCATTCTTTTTCGTTTTAATGAAAAGGGTTTATCAAAACCGTAGGACCTTTTCATTCTAACCAATGGAAACCGCCATGGAGTAGACACTGCCCAATCAGGTGCTCGCATACTCTCTTGCAGTTACGGAAAGACCGACAAATTCACTGAAAACGCCTGCGCCGTTTGCGGTGTCACAGATTGACCAAAGAGAGAGGTGGATGTCGAGCAGGCTTACCTCGTCGTAGGCTTCTTGATTGAAGGTGTAACCATCGCCGACGTAGTAGAAGGGAATGTCGATGTCTCTGCGCTTTCTCTGGACGGGAATTTCCTCGGCTGGACAGTAGGACACGTTGTTTGCAATCCCAGGAACTGTGCAGGTCGCATTCACGCCACGATAATGCGCTCTGACGCTGGACGGTGGCTCTGTTGGTTGTGCGTCTCGGAATCCCGCAGTATCGTCCACTTTATGGAATATGTCGTTCAGGGGCTGGTCATCCTGGCGTTTCAGAACACCGAAACGTCTTAGTGTCGACGCAACAACTAAAAAACGGCAACAATTTGGACCATTTTGCAGAGGAATATGGCCAATAAATTAACTCACGCGACGCCGCATATACCGAAGATGACTTGGCCAACTCAAGCGGTCGTTTATACCACGGCGGCTGTGTGGCATTTTCTAGAGAACTTCGTCTGGGTCGTTGTTGCGGCAGCTGGTCCATTCCACCCTCCTGCAAGTGCCGATCTTTGGCGATTTCGTGGGGCACAACTTCGCGCCAGCCGATGGGGAGGCAGTCGAATCCATTTTGGTATTCCAGTTCGGTTGCCTGCTCGATGTCTATTCCACGAAACGGCCCGTTTTGTTGCATTGGAAGACGATAGCCCGGCTGACAAACACACTCGTATCCACCCCTGGCGAACCCGAAGCCCGATAGTGGAACGCACTAAATATGCACAGTTACTCATTAAAAATAAGTAACACGAGTTTTTCATTAAAATTTGTTGTGCAGTTTACCATGGTGGTGGGCTTGCAGCGGGCAGTGCCAGCCAAAAAATAATCCGGATTTCCCAGGCTCGGTGGGCAGGGATTGAAGTCGATTCGCAGGAAATCCATACTGGTGACAGTAACACCAACCATTCTACAGATGGAACGATTTCACGGCAATGGAATTAGTTCATCAAAGTATAGCTTGGCCGTAAATTGCTAACAGATATAAAGTTTTCAAAACACTAACTAAGCAGAATTCAAGAAACAAAACATGTTTCCAAGCATAATTGTCCCCATTATAACACCACATTTATGTGTTTACAGAAAGGTTTTTGAATAACCAATGTTATACTTAAGGTGCAGCACTCGTTTTAGTAACATGCGTCAGAAATATTTCGAAATGTCGTTGGCAAAGCCACTTTTCAGGTAACAATAAATCTAATCCACGTACAGCCGCATTATGGATATCATCTGCGTGTGATGATAAATAAAATTGCAACCTACTTACATCTTATTAGTAGGTAATGTTTTCTGGTTTCGAGAGTTGACCACACTAGGAGAATTTACATAGGCTTGGCTTCTGTGATTTTATTTCCTGGTGCTTTATAACATTAGAATCGGGAGTGGTAAGGTCAAGGAAATACCTTGGTCCCCTCAGACGATCGATAGGGGAGTAGCGTGGCATGTAGTCAGAGAGGGCAGACACCGCGCTCACAATCCACCGATTGCTGTGGCCGCAGTCGTAGTAGGGTCGAGTGAACCTGACCGGCAGGAAGGTCTCCTTAATGCCCGGTGCGTTCGGCCCAAAGAAGTTGAACGCCTCGATCCTCTCAATGGGGTTCCCGTTGATGTCCGCCAGTCGGGTCTGTGTGGCGTACTGGTTCTTGCCGATTGCCGTGCCACGATGGTCCGGAATGAACGCAATGCCCATCTCCGTGTCGTGGATGTAGGGGTTATTCTTGTACCAGGGCGCTGTGTAGTTGTTGAATGGACCAGCACCCATGTCTGTGAGCTAAAATGAACAAAATAACGATTGAGTCCATAGAAAACTGCGTGACCTCATCAAGCAGACAACCACAGCTCCTGTGCATACACTCATAAGTGGTTGGCTGCATATAGGCAATATCTGTTCAAGACATTGTTTAAATCAATACTGAACTCAACTCACGGTGTGATTCGATAACACTGATTTTATGTCACATTTGATTCTTGGGATTCTGTTGTCAAGATGTAGGATGAGTTATGTTCAAGCATGTACGAGGGTGATTTCCTCAAAAACATGTACTTAGAAATTGTGAAGTATTTTGGCAAAAAACAAACCGCCCAAACACTGAAATAACTACGTTCGGACATCATAACCTGGTCAAATCCGTTGTTTACTTCACAATAGTCTCGTATTGCGAGGACTGAACTGTAACACACACACACACGCATACACAAGCTATTCTTTGGTAGTAAACAATTTACGTTTCGTCGGTAAAACTGAACCATTAAAATAGAACAACTTGGTTAGCATTCTTGTGGCTCTTTCGACGTGCTTAGCTTGCTTATCTTATTTGGCGAAAGTAATTGGGCGAGTATCGATCAAAGACACTACGTGTAACCAATCACAGCTCTAAATTCCCCTGACGCCTCAACATTTACGTAGCTAGCAATAACATGAATGTAACGCCTAATTTCAATAAAAATGGTTTTCCTGACATCGACTTCACAGCTTAAATTTGACAAGTGATTGGTTTCAGCTCAGCAAAACCAATGCATCCACGACCTTTGAAACATGAATCAAGTCTTTATTGAATATACCCACAATATATTCGATTTATAAAAAATATGAAACTGTAGCGACTTGTTACCCTGTAAAACCACGCTGCCCCAGCAACAATAAACCTCTTCTTTCGGTGTTTCGCTTTGTATCTGTCGGATTGGAGGAAGAGGCAACCAAATGAGCGTAATTAGACAGTGCTGTTACAGAAAGCTCACCTCGATTGTATCATTAGTTGGAATCCGCAGAATGTTCGTCTCGTCATTCCAGTTGTCTAACCGACGTGTGACAGGAGCAAACAAAGGGAACGTGGTATTGACACTGTCCGACACATACCAGCTGGCATAGGAGCAGTTCGTGTCCATGTAGATCCCGCTCGTGTTGACAGCATTGGGACCCGATGAAATGTCGGCTGCTCCAGCAAAGTAGTAGTAAATGTGCGAAGGCAACAGGGCTGGTCCCGTTCTAGTGTCATTTAGACGTTGTAGAATGAAGGAATAAAAGAAGGCCCTGTTGAGAGCCAGGTTGTGCAGATGCAGAAGTTTCGAGCGATTTGAATACCAGACTTGAAGCGGAATGTGATTGTACTTGGGCATTTGGCTGATTGTAGTGGCGGGTAGTGTGAGATCAGCCTCGGACAAGTACTTGCAGTTATTCGGGTTTGCACGACTCATTTTCTCCATTATGTAGTCAAAGTTATCACGCGGGTACCAACTGAAAGGGCTGATTGCATTTCCGTGTTCCAAAACGGGAATAATTGCAAGGATAAGTCCGAGGGTAAGTAAAATGACGCAACCTGCATCATCCTTCGAAGGAAGGGATGCTGCCAT